GTGTGTTTGTGTGTGGGAGAGGCGTGATGCAGCGCTCTGTTGTGTGTGTGTGTGTGTGTGTGTGTGTGTGTGTGTGTGTGAGAGAGAGAACCATGATGCAGCGCTGTGAAGTGAGTGAGTGTGTGTGTGTGTGTGAGAGAACCGTGATGCAGCGCTGTGAAGTGTGTGTGTGAGAGAGAGAGAGAGAGTGTGTGTGTGTGAGTGAGTGTATGAGAGAGAGAGAGAGTGTGTGTGTGTGTGTGTGAGTGTGTGTGTGTGTGTGTGTGTGTGTGTGTGTGTGAGAGTGTGTGAGTGTGAGTGAGTGAGTGAGTGTGTGTGTGTGTGTGAGTGAGTGTATGAGAGAGAGAGAGAGTGTGTGTGTGTGTGTGTGAGTGTGTGTGTGTGTGTGTGTGTGTGTGTGTGTGTGAGAGTGTGTGAGTGTGAGTGAGTGAGTGAGTGAGTAAGTGAGTGAGTGAGTGAGTGAGTGAGTGAGTGCGTGCGTGCGTGTGAGTGTATGAGAGAGAGAGTGTGTGTGTGGGTGTTGGAGCCAAAATGACAGGCTCCACTACTGTATTTCACTCATGGTGAGCTAAGTGTGTGTGGTTCACCAGACTTATCCAGACGCTCATGGAAAATGACACTGACTGCTTCACACACACTAGATCTTATGAGCTTTGTGCACTCAGCTACCTCAAAATTGGTCAGTTTAGAAGACATACAGCTTTATGTGGGTAAATATGTTTTTCACACAAGTTGTGAGATGTTGTGAGTTCAGGAGAGTGCATTTGGCTTACACTTTGCTGTGGTCACCATCTGAAACTCTTGCATTATGATAGCTAGATTAAACCTAAATCCAGATTTAGGGCTAAATCCATCACATACACACACATAGAGGCTTACAGTCACTCTTCACCCAAAAATAAGATTTTGCTCATATAACCACATGCAATATGACTGACTTTTGTCTGTAGAGAGAAGCTGCTCTTTCCATGTAATAAAAGTGAATGGGGACTGGGGCTTTTAAGCTTCTAAATGACAGAAAAAGTACAATAAAGTTGTCCTTGCAAACCGTGCACTATAATCAAAGAGGTTTAAAGCCATGCCATAGTTTTGTTTAAGGAATAGGCAAAATTTAAGCATGACATTCACAGGATCTTTATTTTTGGGCGAAATGTCTCTTTATCGGCAACCTTGGTCTGAACTTCAGAAAAAGCCATTTCTCATGTGTTTCTTTGGCAGCCAACTTATAATTATAGTGTAGAAATATGAATGTGACTGCTGCTGAGCAGTTTCTGCATCTGTTTGCTTTATATCGATCTTTTACAGATAGAAAATCAATGCTTTGCTGTTGTTTGCAAGTAAAATCTTGCAGGTTTGCTGTGGGAGAAAAGAGTCCTGTTAGTCACCCATTTACATGCTAGGTTTAAATTGTTCTGTCAGACTGGCTTCCAAGACTTCAGCTGGTCTGAAACACAATCACGTGACCTCGTGTAATACCCGATTATATCCGCTTGTGTTGGGCTGCTGATTAACAGCGGTTTGGTTTTATTGTACCATATAACTAAAAATCCTTTTACAGCAGCTAAACAAACTCCATTAAGCCAAAAAGACTTAAAGTCCATAGCAATAAACAAACACTAAACGTCTTAGTCCATTCAGCCTCCTTCACATCTTGGATACAAACTCAAAAACTGAAAAGTTTAGTCTGGGTTACCTGTTTGAGAGATTTTTTTGTATTTATATTGTCAAATGTGACCCTGGACCACAAAACCAGTCATAAGCGTCAATTTTGTGAAATTGAGATTTATACATCATCTGAAATCTGAATGAATAAGTTTCCGTTAATGTATGGTTTGTTAGGATAGGACAATATTTGGTCGAGATACAACTATTTGAAAATCTGGAATCTGAGGGTGCAAAAAAATCTAAATATTGAGAAAATCATCTTTAAAGTTGTCCAAATGAAGCTCTTAGCAATGCATATTACTAATCAAACATTAAGTTTTGATATATTTACGGTAGGAAATTTACAAAATATCTTCATGGAACATGATCTTTACTTAATATCCTAATGATTTTTTGGCATAAAAGAAAAATCTATAATTTTGACCCATACGATGTATTTTTGGCTATTGCTACAAATATCCCCCAGCGACTCAACACTGCTTTTGTGCTCCAGGCTCACAAATATTCTGTAATTCTGCACTTGAATGAGCATCAGATGATTAAAATGAAAGAGATCTGCAGTTGACAACCTGTCATTTCTCTAAAGAATTATCTTCTTCTTTTCAGTGCAGAATTGCATTTGTGCAAGTCGAAATATAAATAAAAAAGGTAAAAAAAAAATGGTTTTAGTTTTTAATCTGACAATTCTGACTTTATTTCTTGCATTTTCGGGTTATAATTATGAGTTAACATCTCTGAATTTTGACTTCTTTCTCAGCATTGCAAATTTATAACGCACAATTCTGACTTTATTTTTCTCAATTAAGAAGGATAGGAAAAGATGCTGTAAAAGTTTCAAATTCTCAAAGACATTCTTGTCCTGCAATTTTCATAGTGAGTGATCAATATTTTGTATGTTGACCAACCAATCAGATGTTTTATCTTGCTTAGTAGAGTCAAATCAATCTACAAGTGGTTCTAATGGTTTCATTTCTATTGAACTGCAGAACTTTGAGCCACATTTATCTTGCTCTCTAGTCAGTATGATTTTTTCATTGAATATGGCTTCAAACTGCAAAAAAAGTGTTTTTCTTACTTAGCATTTCTCTCTTGTTCTCCATTACAAATATCTACACATTCTTGAATCAAGATACATTAACTTAAGATATTAAGTCTTTTTTTCTGATAAATTGATTTTTTTTTTTAAAACAAGAAAAAATATCTGCCAGTGGGATAAGAAAAATAAGCTTGTTTCCCTTTGAATTAAAGGGGTCATATGATGCGATTTCAATTCTTCCTTTCTCTTTGGAGTGTTACAAGCTCTTGGTGCATAAAGAAGATCTGTAAAGTTGCAAAGACTAAAGTCTCAAATCCAAAGAGATATTCTTTATAAAAGTTAAGAGTCAGCCACGCCTACCTAAAACCCCTCGTTCTAACACGCCCCCACGTGTCTACCTCACTATGTGGGAAGATTTGCATAACGCCGGCCAAATGTTCACGCAAAGAAAGAAGGTGTAACTTTTATTGCTTAAAGATTAAAACTTTTCTTACCCCACTGGCAGATCATACTTTTCTTCTGAAGCAAATGTATCTTGATTTAAGAATGTTGAGATGTTTGTAATGGAAAACAAGACAAAAGTACTAAGTAAGAAAACCATTTTTTGCAGTGCAGAGGCAATGTATTTATTGTACGTTTATTTGTTGTTCTTTGTTTGCAGGACGGTCGAGAGAACATCAAGGCAGAAGCTCTCGTTAGCCAATCAGAGAGAATTGAGAACCACAGAGAAGGCAAGTTAAATCACACAAACTGAATGTCCATCTGAGAGAAGAGTTTCATCTTCCAAAAAAAGTTTAGAAACATTCCACATGAAGGTAGACGAGGGTGAGGGGGACGTTCAGCACCCCTGGAGATGTAAAACTCATTGATGTCTGTCCTACCAGCAGGTCAACCCCTATATTTAGACCCAAAGTCTGTTGAAGTAAAACTCCTTTCCTGTGACCCTGACATTTGTGGTGTTAGTGGTCCTTACTCAGCTGCTCAACCCAGTAATTTTGGCCAGGGTGAGAGCAGGGCCAAGCAAAGACATTTTGGGAAGCCACTGTTTGTTATTCAGGTGGAGACAAAGGAAGTTTGGGGCTGGAACAGGACGAGGAAGAGCATTTATACACAGTTGTTGTGGAGAATGAGGGAAGGACATGCTTTTTGTCATGCATGCATTTTGAAGTTTGGGTCAGAGACTGAAACCGATTTTGAGTTAAAGGAATCAGATATATAACTTTGACTGTGTTCTAGAATCTTTATGCTCCTTTATCCTAAAACCGCTTCTTGTCTGTCGTTTCCCATGAAAACAGTACTGTTGTGGTACAGTAGTACAGTGATGGTGACAGGTGGTAATACTATGGTAATTCAAAGGTATTAGGCTGTCAGTGCTTTTAACATAGTGGGTTAAAATGGATTATCTCAATAATAAAATGTGACCCTGGACCACAAAAGCAGTCATAAGTGTCAATTTTTTGTTTGTTAGGATAGGACAATATTTGGCAGAGATACAACTATTAGAAAATCTGGAATCTGAGGGTGCAAAAAACTCTAAATATTGAGAAAATCATCTTTAAAGTTGTCCAAATGAAGTTCTTGGCAATGCATATTACTAATCAAAAATTAAGTTTTGATATATTTACAGTAGGAGATTTACAAAATATCTTCACAGAACATGATCTTTACTTGGCATAAAAGAGAAATGTATAATTGTGACCCATACAATGTATTGTTGGCTATTGCTACAAATATCCCCCAGCGACTTAACACTGCTTTTGTGTTCCAGGATCACAAATGCTAAAGGAATAGGTCACGCATATAATTTATTTTTGAAAATGCGAAAGGAGATGTTTATGAGATAAATGGTCAAAATTATGAGATAAAACGTCTTGATTATGACAGTCGAAATTATGAAAAGTCGAAATTGAGACCTAATTATGACGTAAAAAGTCAACATTATTAGGTACTGTCATAACTTATCTTTCGTTGTACGTTGTCATTTTGACTTTTTTCATAATTAAGTCAGCAGTGACAGTATCTCATTTTGGATTTTCTCATAATTAAGTCAATTGTGAGTTACACCGTATCTACACCGAAAGCGACCGCTGCAAATCATTTGAACTTTGTGTCAGTACGTCATAAATAGAACGAGATCTCATTATTATGACTTAGTATCTCATAATGTTGTCTTTGTCATAAGTATCACTTTCATATCATAATTCTGACTTAGTCTCTCATAATTTTGACTGTCATAATTACTGAGATTTTTTATCTCAGGTTTGAAAATGACAATCATAACGGCAAGTCAAAATTGAGTCATAATTATGAGTAGGGTTGCAAAAGGTGGAAAATTTCCAGCAAATTTTGGAAATGTTCCAGAAATTTTGGAAACTTTCCAGGATTTTTTGGGAATATTCAAGGGATTCTTGGAAAGTTTCCGGAAATTTACCGGAAATTTTCCACCCCTTTGCAACCCTAATTATGAGTCCGTTTCTATGTTAAGTCATAAAAAGAAAGTCAAGATTATGACATACTAAACATCATTTTGTCTTTTATCTCCTAATTATGAGACAAAGTCATAATTGACATGAAATTATGAAATACTAGGTCATAATTTACATTAAAATGATGTGTTGTAATTATGATTATAATTTTTTTTTTCTTATGTGGTGAAAATGGGCTTCATACAAATCCCAATCGGTTTGAGTATATTCAAATTACGTGAAAATATGAATGAATGTCTTAATATAGAGTTAATGTAATAATGTAAATACAGAATCATATGTGCTTTTTGTGTCATTTCTGCAGAGTAAATTTCATTTTAGGTGAGCTATTCTTTCAGCAAAAGATGCAAAACAAATCTGTTTTTCCAACGAGATATGATCGAGGGAGTGTTGTTGTGTTTGACACACTGTTTTATAGTCTAGCATTTGTCTGAGAGTGTGGCGAGCCTTTCTTTGTGCTGAAGGAGAAGAATGCGTCTGGGGTTTGGATCTCTGAACTTCACTGCCTGCCACATCACTTGTGGTAAACAAAGCAGACAAGATGGGAATCAAATTAAGCACTCGACCAGGCCAAAAACTCGAGACCTCACAATTACAGGTCTTAGATGCATCATGTATGTTCACTTAGTCTTAATTTAGTGGAGAGAGTCATTTAAGGGAGTTTCTGATTGATAATAACAATGGGTTTTCTATGCTATATATACACATCTTTAACTAGTTGAGTTTGCAGTCTATCCCTTTGTCTCTTTCTAATTCAAAAATGTTAAATGTAACTTCTGATATTCTCAGCAGCATCTTGCCATAAAAAATATCTTAACTCTTTAATACAAGGAAACGTTCTTGATAAGGAGTATATCCTGACTCTGTAAGCAATGAAAAGAACGCAGCGTATGCTTAGACTAAGCAGCCCAAAAGCACAGATTTGCTCTGCTCCTTCAGAGATCTGAGAATGGTGGAAACAGAAAGATACTTCCTGACCAGATGTGAAAAGTATCAGGATGTCGGCAAGACTGCTTTTACTACAAATTACAGGGATCTGCTCAGAAACGCTGTTACCTTAGCTCTCTCTCATTACGGCTAGAGTCTGAGACCGACGCGTGAATGTGAATCTCTCAAGTATTGTCAGTGAACTGGGCATTTTTTCGTCCTGTGTTGCAATCTTTGCTTTTGCCACACTACAAAAAATGCCTCAAGCGTCAGGTTTGAATTTGGAAGCTTGCAATAACAGGTTTTAACAGGTTTAATGAAAGAAGGAAAAAACATCTTCAAATTTGAGCTTGTACATGCAAAGTTGTAAAATTGTGAGTATTTTGCTGATAGTCAGCTGAAGGTTGGATGCTAATGTCACTTCCTGTGCCCTCCATGTATTCTGCGTCTGGATATCTCCCAAACAGTGTGCGTGCACGCAGGAAATGTGAAAGGAAATGTCCTATCTCCACCCAGCATGCACAGCTCATTACAATCACCATCTGACATTCCCTTGGCTTAGTTCTGTTCGTTTTGTCTGTTCCCAGCTGCATATATTTGCTTTATGTAGTTAACCTAGTACTTCACCATGCATGCTAGTCTTAAAAGGCTCCTGAAAGAAATTCAGTATGCTGTATTCATCCGTTCAGTATGCATAAAAAAGTTTAAGCTGTATGCGGTGAAGTTTGAGCAAAGCTACAATGCAATGCAATTCCTGATTGTCCCATATTTTATTAAATGCTAGCAAGATCAGTATACACTGTGTCTGAAATGGCATACTTGTATTAAATAATGAAAGCGTTAAAGGTAATATTACATATATTAGTAATATGGTCGGTAAGATTTTTAATGTTCTTCTGCTCACCAAGGCATCAATTATTTGATAAAAAATGCAGTAAAAACAGTAATATTGTGAAATATTATTACAATTTAAAATAGCTGTTTTCTATGTGAATATCTGTTAAAATGTAATGTATTTCTGTGATCAAAGCTGAATTTTCAGCATCATTACTCCAGTCTTCAATGTCACATGATCTTCAGAAATCATTCTTAATATACTGATTTGCTGCTCAAGAAACACTGAAAACAGGTGTGCTTCTTCATTTATTTTGTTAAAACCTTGATACATTTTGTATTTACGGATTCTTTAATGATTATAAAGTTCAAAAGCACAGCTCTTGATGTCACTTTTGATCAATTTAATGCATCATCGCTGAATAACAAATAAAAGAAAATCTTACCGACGCAAACAGTCGTGTACAGGTTCACTCTCACTAGGTTTTAAAATCAATAGTATGAATGGAAAGTGTGCTGAGATCTGGTCATAGCTGAAGTGGACTGAAATGAGACTGAGTCCACTTTAATGTCAGGAACGATGTGGTGTTTTGTTTTTTTTTCTCTCATTTTGGTTGGTTATTTTAAATGAGATTTGTGGAAACACATCTGAGTCTAACCTCGAAGTTCCTGTTCCAATGCACTTACAGTTATGTGTTTGTCTCTTGTAGCCTCAAGCCCTGACATGGTTTTAGTACTAGATCCTTTGGTCAGAGAGAAAGTCTCTTGTCCTCTGACTCAGCGGATCCAATGCGATCATGGCTCGCCCTCCTCAGAAGTCATTCCTTCATACCGAGAGCGGTCAGACTCCGGAGAATCGAATGACAGCAGCTCCCATCAGAGAAAGAGGCTGAACTCCAGCGCCTCAGACCGTAGCCACGAATCCCTGTCTACTGCTGAACCTCATCTGACGGACCAGAGCTCACCGTCAGGTCCGGCTGCAGAGCAAGTGAGGGCAGCTGTGAGTTCAGAGGCTCTGCAGACGGATCGAGACCTGAAGACACTTGACAATGGCCTGGAGACGACTCTCTTTCAGAGCACAGCAGCTTCACAAGCATGCACACTGAATGAGACGAGTAAAAGAGCTGAAGACGTCTCAGGACAGAAGGTGAGGAGAAGTGAAAGGTGTCTCATGGGAACACTTGCTCTGTTTGATCCACCAGGAGGTACTATTTGTCTCTGTTTTATCTCTGAATCCATCCACCACTTGCTCCGACTATCCTCCGTGCCATAACAATGTTCAGATGTGATTAAGAGAGAATCATTGGTGGTGTTTGGCTAAGAATCAATTTTAACATTGTTAATTTGGTTTTTTCATTCATGGGCAACAGACACAATACCTCAGATCCTGTGGCTTGTTGAAGAGTGCGTGCTTTCAACAATTCTTGTAAAATAGGCAAAAAATCCCATAGACTTTTTTAGCCATTTATAGAGACCAGAAATAGATTCTGTATAGTAACATGCTTAAACCACTCTGAACGACAACATATTTGACCAAATCCTACAATTTAATGTAAATACACTACCATTCTGAAGTTTAGGGTTGGCAAGTTTGTGAAAGAAGTCTCTTCTGCTCACCAAGGCTGCATTTATTTGATCAAAAACACTGTAAAAACTACAATATTGTGAAATATTATTTAAATTCAAAAGAAAGGATTTGTATGTGAATATATTGTAAACTGTAATTTATTCATGTGATCAAAGCTGTATTTTCAGCATCATTACTCCAGTCTTCAGTGTCACATGATCTTCAGAAATCAGTATAATATGCTGATTTGCTGCTCGAGAAACATTTCTGAATTATCATCAATGTTGAAATGTTTTTTTTCAGGATTATTTAAAATTTTTAACAAGTTGTGCTGCTTAATATTTTTAAAAATATATATTTTACATTATAAACGTCTTTACTCTTACTTTTGATCAATTTGATGCATCCTTGCCGAACAACATATTTGACCAAATCCTACAATTTAATGTAAATACACTACCATTCTGAAGTTTAGGGTTGGCAAGTTTGTGAAAGAAGCCTGCTCACCAAGGCTGCATTTATTTGATCAAAAACACTGTAAAAACTACAATATTGTGAAATATTATTTAAATTCAAAAGAAAGGATTTGTATGTGAATATATTGTAAACTGTAATTTATTCATGTGATCAAAGCTGTATTTTCAGCATCATTACTCCAGTCTTCAGTGTCACATGATCTTCAGAAATCAGTATAATATGCTGATTTGCTGCTCGAGAAACATTTCTGAATTATCATCAATGTTGAAATGTTTTTTTTCAGGATTATTTAAAATTTTTAACAAGTTGTGCTGCTTAATATTTTTAAAAATATATATTTTACATTATAAACGTCTTTACTCTTACTTTTGATCAATTTGATGCATCCTTGCCGAATAGAAGTATTAATTTCATAAAAAAAAAATGTTTTGAATGTTAGTGTAACTCTATTAAAAAATATATCTTGATAAAACTCGATAAAGCATCTCTTTAAAATGCTTACTGCTGTAAACAGACATCGCTGCTACTGTGAACTGTTTTATGTCATGCTGTGAGAAGTTGATTTTAAATGATTTTTTTCTTTAGATCACATCAGGTAGAGACGCTCTCCTGACTTCTCTCACTAATGGCAAGGATACAGGTGAACAGTTCTGCATATCACATCAAAATACATGTTGATTAATAAAAGATTTAGCCTTCGAAATGCTTAATGACTTGCATATGTTGCATACCTGGCAACATAGATGCCCAGCAGGAAGTATGGCCAAGCTGATGTCCTCCTGCTTTTGTTTAAAGTATGAAGATAGAGATCCTCTCGCAGTCAGCAGGCCATATCCCAAGATCCTCACTCTTCCTTATGACCTAATAGGGCCATTACCACATTCACAAGCGTAGAGGCCCGGTCCTAATCAGTCTTTCCAGAGACTAAAACATCCTGCATGATCCCTAGGACTGAAAAATCCCAAATGAGATGGAATTAATTACCTTACTGTCACAATTGTTTATTCTAGACACAATGAAATTAGATGGAGAGCAAGTGAAGACTTTGATTAAAGGGATAGTTGAATATTCTGTCATGAACGTCAAACAAGTTATATGTGAATACATAGCTAAATTAAATCTGTTCATCATATAAGCAATAGAGTCTCTTCAGAAGAATCATATGGATTTCTTTTAAGATGTCCTTATGAAGCGTCAAGTTTTGGTGGAATGGATTTCAGTGAAATCATTAAAAATATCTCCACTTGTGTTTTGAAGAGGAATGGGTTTATGGGTTTGGAACGACACAAGGGTGAGTAAATGATAGAATATTCATCTTTGGGGGAACTGTCCCTTTAAATCTCTTGCTTTCCTGCTTTAACCTAGAAGAAAGCTCCAGGACTCTCACATAGGTCTCCTCTAGAGGTTCAGAGGACGTCTCAAGGATTGAGATTTGCTAAGACACCAAAGTCTACAATGAAATGTCTGGGATTTAATCATTAATAACTTCTTCCGAGACGACATGATCTGGGCTGTGCTGTCCACAATTATTTGATAGCTTATACTGTCATACAGGCTTCATTTTAATTATCATTTTTAATGTACGGTAACACTTTATTTTAGGGACCAATTCTCACTATTAACTAGTTGCTTATTAGCATACATATTACTAGCATATTGTCTGTTTATTAGTACTTATAAAGCACATTTAATGTCTTATTCTGCACGATCATATTCTAGATCCCTTAATTCACCCCATACCTAAACTTAACAGTTACCTTACTAACTATTAATAAGCAGCAAATTAGGAGTTTATTGAGGCAAAAGTCTAAGTTAATAGTGAGAACTGGTCCTTTAACTAAAGTATGACCTAATGGTTTTTTTTTCTTCTTCCAGATTTGAATTAAATTAATACAAATAAAAAATTTTCTTTTCAGATTTTAAAAACAAAGCCTCATTCTCGGGGCCCGTCATGCGCGCGAACTCTGTTCGTGACAGGATGCGCAAGTTCACCGAACCTGTTACGAACGCACCTAAAATCAGCCGCAGTTCGTCTCATTCCACAAACACAGTGTCTGCAGAGAGGTCCTCGTCCTGTTCTTACTCCATCCCAAAGAAAGAGAGGAATGTCACTGAGAACATGTTGGCCCAGCCCAGGCTTTTCTCCAGCCAATCACACGCCGCAGTGGGCGGCTCACACGGCTGCACTGAAAATGTCAGGCGTGCATGTAGCAGTTCAGAAGAAGTGCAGACTCCTGAGGGAGAAGCATCTTCAGGGACCCACGACACCCGAGGTGAACCCGAGTCCAACATGAAGACCTTCCTGAGCATTGAGATCAAAGACGGACGAAACCCATCTTCACTGTCATCGCCCTCTGCAGCCATAAACATGAGCCCTCGAATCACCACATCTGCTGCTCCACAGAGAACAGGTAAGCAAGTGAATCAACTGATTCATAAAACACACAGGAATTTTGTACCCAATTATGCATTCCAAAACAATAGTGGGTGAATTGATGGATTTGCATGAATACATTTATAATTTTAGATACATTGAATGCAATGTATATTGCTTTGGAAAAAAGTCTCTGCCAAATGCATAGATATGTAAATGTATGTATAATTTAAAAATATATTCTACTGTTCAAAACTTAGAGTACTTAGGCTCAGTAAGATTTTTTTTTTCCCGCAAGCATGCATTAAATTGGTGACAGTAAAGACATTTATAATGTTTCAAGATATTTATATTTTAAATTATTGATGTTCTTTTGCACTTCCTGTTCATCAAAGAATCCTGAAAAAAAAGAATCACAGTTTCCTCAAAAATATGAAGCAGCACAACTGATAATAATCAGAAAGTTTCTTGAGCAGCAAATCAGCATATTAGAATGATTTCTGAAGATCATGTGACACTGAAGACTGGAGTAGAGTTTCCGTGGGTCCTTAAAAAGTCTTAAATGGTACAAATAAGTCTTAATTATGATTTCAAGAGGTCTTATATTTGGGGACGGAAAGACAAGAATCGAGATATAGCTCAATGTGATGATTAAACTTCAAAAGGCTGGTTTTATTAAATAAACATGAGCGCTGCACGTTTCAAAGTCTCGAGCTGCTGGTTTGTGTTCTGCCATTACTGGGAAAACTGCTGTATTTCTGCCATTCCTGCTGGTAGAAAATGAATGTGCATTTTCAATGAGCCCGTCTGCTGTTTATGTTCAGACCAATGCGAAAATCCACGCATGTTTAAATTCTGCAAACACGCAGAGCTGTAAATGGGAACTGGTGGATTGACAAGAAAATGCATTCTAAAAATCTAAACAATTAAGACAGTAAAATATATTTCTATGTTATTTAATTAATATAATGATTGATAATGAATGTTTAAATTAATATAAATTAATATAATTGCTACTTATGACTGATTCAATTTCTTAAAAATGGTTTAAAGCCTGAAATGTGAAGTTTATAATTTTATAAAACTTTGTTTTTGTGAAAACCTTTATCCGAACTGTAAATTAGGCATGCACCGATACTGCGCTCCTGTACTCGTACTCGTACTCGTAAAAATGCCCCGATATCAAAAGCCGATACCACACAGCGTGTGAATAGAGCTGTGTCCAGAAAAAGAAACACTGAAAACAGAACAACCGAGAGTAGAATGGAGTTATTAGAGATTAAAGATGTCGATGAAGTACATGCAAGTAATTAATATAATGTTAAACATTCAATATTCACGCCTGTATAGCTGATGTGCGCGAGCTGATAAGCAGAGTGCGCGGTGGCACAGATGCACGAGCTTGTTGAGTGAATATCTCACAGATATCACTGGAAAGTTTGTAGTTCGGTCAGATATGTCAAAAGCAAGTAAGAAAAAACAATGCACAAGTTACTAAAGATTTTTGATGGTAAGGAGAGCAAGAGAGCGAGAGACCGAGAGCGCACACTTCTGTTGCATTATCTTTATTGCTGTTCGCTCCATTAGCTCATGCATTTAGATTAAAACTAAATCGTAAATATAAAACAAACAAAAATTATAGGGGCATTCACTATAAACAACATTTATTTTAAACGTCAAGCATACACAACTTTCTTTAAAGCAGAAGTGAAACTAGCAGACTGTGTGAAGTGCGCTAGGCTGTAAGTGTCTCTCTCATTCCGCACCAATACAAACGTGTGTGCGCTGCGTATGTTTAGCTTGCTTTAAGGCCAAAGTATACTTCGGTTTTTACTCGTACGTGAGGGTCAGTGTACACTGCGCATGACACAAATTACATCACCAAAATAGTACGCGTGCACTCGTATAATGTATAACGAGTGGTTCCCTGCATTATTTTAGGAAAACGTTTTGAGACTAACATGATTCATATTATTATTATTATTATTATTATAACATTTTTTTTTCTGTACCCAGTTTTTAAAAAATTACAAATGCTGTGAAAATACAGGTATCTGTATCGGCGAGTACCAAAAATGAAAGTATCGGTATCGGACTTGTTCTGAAAAAGTGGTATCGGTGCATCCCTGCTGTAAATCATGCCTTTTACAGTTTAATATGTTACCATAGACATTGCCCTACCCCGCTCATATGGCATTAATTGTATTTGTGCAAGTCTCAAAAAAGGTTTTAAAGTCTTAAATTTGAGCTTAAAATCCTGCAGAGACCCTGAGTAATGATGCTAAAAATTCAGCTTTGATCACAGCAATAAATTACATTTTAACATATTTTCTCATTGAAAAACAGTTCTTTTAAATTGTAGTAATATTCCACAGTACATTTGCGGCTAACAGCACAAGTTATTGTCTTGCTTATAACATAATTTTAAAGTAATTGTCTCAGTGAAATGGCAACTCTCACAAAATATTTACACCCATCATGTTTTTCCCCCTTGAAATGCATGTTTAGGTGGCCTAACTCTAGGAAAGTGTCACCAATTTTTTAATTTTCCAATTGTTTAGCAGCCACTAAAATGTTATTTAGTGATTGGTCTCTTTTGATGTGAATCAAGTAAGGATCAGATTACCGTTCTTGTGTTGCATACATTTTTTGTTGTTGTCATTTGTTTTATTGTAGTATTTACTCACATTTTGGTGCTTGCACATATTCATCTGTAGAGCTACTGAACTTTTGAAATATTGTACAGTACACCATTATTGTGTGTGTGTGTGTGTGTGTGTGTGTGTGTTACCAGGATTCACATGTAAGATGGCAAATTTAAGAATGTAGTATCACCATGGACCATTACTTCTCTTCACAAAATCTCATAAACACTGATATCACCCGTGTCAAATTTTGCAATGTACAAAATAATGAAGTGTATTTCTTATAATCACTCCTATAAAGAGTACATCTTCAGATGCTGGGCCAATTAAAACAAATCTGTTGCTCTGCTTTGGATGTCTATACATCCAAAATAATGTATAAAATATCCAAACAAACTTTTCTGTTGTATTTTTTGAGCAGAGAATCAGGATCAAGTGAAGGTCCTATGTCCTGTTTCCCAAATTTGAGCAAGTTTTTGAGTCCTGTTGGTTAATGTTTAATATCTTGTATTGTATTAAATTTTGTATTTGTTGCTGGATAGTTAAAGGAAACCAACATTTTACATTTTCTCTAAATTCCTAGTGGCCATTCTGTCCTGCGGAGAATCATAATAGTCCTGTTGAGAACTACTGTAGCCCTTTAGTTTCATGTTGAGTTGGAATTTTGTATGAAATTTTCAATTATGGTTCATTCGGATTGGTTTCAAGTAGGGCTGTCACGATTCGAGTACTCAATTATTAAAAAATCCTCGATTGCATTTTGCCTGTGGCAGTTAACTGGCTAAATACTGGAAGTGACGCATTCTACGGACAAGAATTCATAAAAAGCATTATTTGACCATTTTCTAAGGCTGTTTGAAATATTAAAACCATTTACAAATCATAATAAATCATACTGCTGTTGTTAATTCACAAAGGCTGTGATTCAATTAAATAAGTACATGTGGTGCAGGTTTAACCTGTGCTTTATTTCTGTGCGTGTCGGTCACGGCTCCGTTCACAGTAAATGCTGCTCCGCACAAACCTTTATAATTTACATCCGCGGTCAGAGCGTCTCAAACGCCATCTCTGCATATGCTGTGAGTCTGAGTATAACGTTCATCTGAGAACATGTGCACCATTCTGTCAGATTTATAAGGTAAATAATTTATAAAGCCACACCAAGACAGGAGAAAACATCATCATCTTTCTAAATATGCTAACTGTTCGTCACGACTTCAAAATAAAAGTTTAACCCTCGCTCTGAGATTGCATGCTCTGATGTCCGCATATTCAAGAAATTACAGCAGCTGTAGCATTTCTGTCATAAAGAAGTGGTCAAATGTTAAAGATTAAGTGGACATTTTAATTAAATATTATTATTACAATCGTCAGGCCATTGGCGCCTCTGCAGGCATTTGATATTATACATAATGTACACAAGTTATGATTATATTGTTTTATTACATTATGTATTTTAACTGTTTTGTTCAAGAAAACCATATGACTACTTGCTTTTGATATTTTATTTGAACCAATTATTATTGCCTCAATGCTGTTATATATTTAAGTAATTTCAAAGTTCGCTAAGCTCTGTTTTTCTACCGATTACTCGATTACCAAAATAATGTTAGTGACCACCCGAGTTTCAAGTGATGATTCTAAAAGTATTCTTTAGAAATAGTGGGTTTTTGCCCATGGTGTTGAGGTCACAGGCCTAGAAAGCTGGAAATGGTAAGCTAGTTAAGCCGATCCAGATACCTGTACGTTTCACAGATGTTTTTATGGGGAAGGCCAAGTGAGCTGATGGAACAAACTGGAGTGCAAGCTGTGCATATTCTCCGTTTGGCAGCCATGTTGGAAATTTCACCCTAAAATGTAATATTTCCATTCATTCCTTCTCCATGATTCAAGTAGAGTATGAGTAAGCCTATTTAATGGTTTGCATATAAACTTTAAAAGAATCTCTTCTCTAGAAACTGTTGTGGTTCCTTTAAGAGGAAGTGGATTTCAACCTGTGCTCCTGGACGGTGCTTATGAAAGTGAAATCATGGTAGTTTACCCAAAAACAAAAATATTCTCATTTTAGACTGTTTGCACCCTTATTTTTCCTTGTAGAGCCCGACCGATATGGTTTTTTTTGGGACCGATACCGATATTAGGGAGCAAAAAATATTTTTTAACGATATTCTGTGTGTATTTTATAGTACAGTACCAGGTCCCTTGTAGAGCCCGACCGATATGGTTTTTTTTGGGACCGATACCGATATTAGGGAGCAAAAATATTTTTTAACGATATTCTGTGTGTATTTTATAGTACAGTACCAGTCAAAAGTTTGGACACTTTCCCATTCGTGTGTCCAAACATTTGACTGGTACTATATATAGAATACAGTATATACATAAACAGAAT